TAGTTGTGGCAATGTCAGGCTCAGGGGTAGGCCGTGACTCATGCAAATGCAATAGCGTATTATGCCTTCTTTTTTGCAATATTTACAGGGTACAAGGTTGCAATTATTTTCTAAATGCCCTGGACATAAACAATTTAGACAGACCTTAGGCTCGTTGGCCTTTTGTATACGCATTTCAATAGGAAGGGCTCTGAATGTTTCACAGTTAAAAAGAAAATGATTTTGAGTGCATTAGAGACATGTAAATATATTTTTATGAAATGAATTGTTTTTTTTTGTTTACATTGAGATTTTCATTTGATTTTTGACTCTTTGTAGCAATAAGTAAATTTGAATTTGATTTATAAGTTTCTATTTTGTGTGAGTTACCTTTACTTTCCTGCAATGTCTCCAATAAGTCTGCTCTGTTCCTAAGAAAGGTAATAAATGTGTCTAAAGAAGGTGGGGTAGTTAGAGTGTTTCTATGCTCTTCCCATACCCTGAGAGTGACACTATCAAGTTTCTCGGCCATCATGTGTATTATAAGTGTACCCTAATGCTTAGTAGACTGTTCTAAGGTAGACAGTGCACGAAGATTTTTATTTGTAACTTCTATATGGCGACGAATAGCTGAACACGATTTACTACTTATACATTCAATATTGAAAAGTTCCCTGGCGTGGTTATTAACAAGTAATCTTTTGTTATTATACCTATTGCACAATAAATCCCACGCCGAGTCATAATTTTCGGCCTTAAAGTCCAAGTTATCGATAACGAGCAAGGCACTACCTTTAAGAGATGCACGAAGATAATGCAACTTATTGCTATTATGTATATCTTGCCTGCAATGAATTAAAGAAACAAAAGTCCTGAACTCAAGCCAGTGTTGATAGTGACCATGAAAGACAGGTAAATTGATTTTAGGCAATCTAACACGATTAGATAAACCACTTGCCTGTGCATCCTCAAAACTCGATACAGAACCATCCAGGCGCTCGCGGTGCTGTGCCGGCTGCGCGCCGGGCAGACTGCGTGCCGCCGCCACTAGCGCATGATACTGACATTCGAATTCTTCGCGTTCCGCGAGCTGGTCGTCTGCAGAGTCCGAAAGCGTCTCGATCTCACACTGTAATTTGTCATATTCCACGTATAAGGCATTAAATTTATTGAAGCGGCTTTCTGAATCTAGCAGTTGTAAACTACTAGGTATTTCGCCAGATTGAAGCACTGCTATGTATTTACTAAAGATAGTCAATTTCGACTTTATTCCACCGCGTTTCTTAATCAACTTTTCTTCAGCCATAGCTATATAGCGGTAATGTGCAACAAAATAAATAAAATCTATTCAATAAGGCAGTAAAATACAGCGGGATATTAGCTCGTTAGGAGAACAAAAGAACAGATGTGCAAGCAAACCGGACTGGTTAGCTGACGATGAAGAAGAAGCGAGCGAGTTACGTAAACAAGTTACCGTTATTTGAATTCCTGTAGTTTAAATTACGCAAAATTTTGCTTTAAGCATATGAAGTAAAAATTGATTTAAAATGTAGATGAGAGATTGATGTGTTGCGAGCAAGGCATAAATGAAAAGGCATTCACTAAATAAAGGCTGTTTTTGAATTTAAAGGAATGTTAAAGAAAGGAAAAGATAAAAGGAAAATTGGAACGAACTCACAAATGAACATCCAAACCGTTTCCTAGATTAATCGTAGATGATCAGCTTATTCCATTATACTCACGATGACACGCACTCTCGATGGGTCCAAAGTCCGTCGCGCGTTCGACCTCAAAATGACTTTCAATTCTCGGGCTTGTGCGGTTGCTTGACGAAGTATACTCCACAGGATAATAATGAAGAAGGCTCCTCGAGGTATCTTCTGCAGCTGAAGACCACACTGTATTGCTTTGAGTCTTGATGATGAGTTGATGACGTTGACCACACTTTTCATTAAGACGGTGAGAATCCTAAAGGACCAATGTTACGGTCCTAAGGGACGTGAAATAAAAGTGGACTGTATTACAATAGGACTGGTATATTCGCCATCTCAATCACACGTGTACTCGTTTATAATAAATGAATAGGGGTCGACCGTCGCCGGTGGCTGAAGATAAGGCGAGTGCCCCTGCGCCGCTGCCGCTCGCCGGGACGTCACACTCGCCGTGTTGTCCTCCCCCGCGTCTCGTGCCGAGCAGGTATAAGACCGGTTCGCAACAAATATCATACATCATTATTACATAAAACATACATATACCTTATAATTTCATGTCGACATTCAATAATCAACAAAGAATAATCAATAAAGAATAATCAATAAAGAATAAAAATAAGTCAATTAAAAACAACAAAATAATAACCTTCTACGTCAAATGTATATACATTAAGCACTAATTTCATGTCAACATTTATCTAAAAAATCAGTCACTTTGTAATAATTTTTGTCTCTAAGCCATTCACTAAGTCTGTTTCTGAACAAATTATTTGGTAACGTTTGAATGCCTTTTGGTAGAGCATTATAAATTCGGACACACATACCGTTACATTGATTTTTGTAATAACACAATCTAGGTTTATTATTATACACCAGTCTATTTGGGTCCCTTACACCTCTACTATGTACATCTGTAATTTTTTTTAAAAGGTTTAGATTTTGCTTAACAAACCATGTCACTTCGAAAATGTACATACACGGTAACGCCAAAATTCCCAATTCTTTCAACAAAGGTGCACAAGATTCCCGTGGGGAAACACCGGTCATTGCTCGAAGATACTTTTTTTGAGCTGTGAACAATTTTTTACCCTCAGTTGAGTTACCCCAAATCAAGAGTCCATATCTAAGCAAAGACGCAACGTAACCGTGATAAGCAGTCAAAACTGTAGATGGTGATGATATATTTCGCAACCTCCTTAAGACATATACATATCGATGCAATTTATCTACCAGTGACTCGACGTGTTGTGACCAGTTGCAACTACTGTCTATTTCCACGCCTAAGAATGTTGTAGAGTCTGCCTCCTGAATATTGACATCCTTGTAATTTATGTTAAGGTTCATTTTTGTTTGTCGATTTGTACCAAATTGAATGAATTTAGTTTTAGTCAAGTTAACAGTCGAATTATTAAGTTTAAGCCAATTTATTATTACATGTATTGAATTGTTTATGTCTAATTCGTAGTAATTATGTAATTTTTGTAAGGAATTACGACTGAAATATCATCTGCAAATAATATGCTTTTATGTCGTGTAACCTCTGGTAGGTCATTTATGTAGAGCAAGAATAATAATGGCCCGAGACCACTACCTTGCGGGACACCACACGCATTGACTCTATATTGCGATCTTGCTGATACAACACAGCTGTTTTTATTTAAATGTTTTATTTCTATAGCTTGCTTCCTATTTTCCAAGTAGGAAGCTAACCAGTTAAGAGTACCTCTAATACCTAAATAGTTTTGTTTTTTCTGCAAAATGTCGTGAGATACAAAGTCATGTCAAAAAATATCACCGTTGTAGGTATTTTTGCATTAGTGTTCTCCACTATCTGACGTACAAGATGAAATGCAGCCAGTGTAATAGATTTTTTCGATTGAAACCCGCATTGCTCTTATTTGATTATATTGTGCTTATTAATAAAACTTAGCAGCCTCTTCTTCATGCATTTCTCAAATATTTTGGACAGCACGGGGATTAAAGTTATAGGGCGATAATTTTCAATGCATGCCCTTACGCCTTTTTTATAGATTGGTTTCACTAAAGAAATTATTAACAATTCGGGAAATATGCCTTTTTCAATCGACAAATTAATTAAGTTTGTGAGAGGAGGCATCAGTTGCTTATTACAGTGTTTTATCACATTTGTTGGTATTTCGTCGTAACCTGTGGCGTTTGTAGATTTCAACGTTCTAATCATAGATGATAAGATTCTATGAACTGCCTCCGTGGCCGAACGGTTACCATGCCGGACTGCCACGCAGAGGTCCCAGGTTCGATTCCCGGGCCGGGAGAAATATTTGTGTGGCCTACATTTATTTCTCTTGTGAGTTTGGGTGTAATTTGTGGTTGTCTATGTGTGGTTATTATTATTATAGCGGTAATTTCATTCGGTGCAAAGGGCTCTATAAATATAATATTCATTAAGGAAAATTTGTTAGTATTTCTGCATGACTTATTTTGTGTTAGTCAGATTGATTTGATAATCATTAAATTTATTGGCTATGTCAATTTGGTCACTTATAAATTTGTCATTTATTATAATTTTCTTTAAAAATTTATTATTGTATAATTGTGTTCTATTACTATATTCGTTTTTTATTATATTCCACGATACTTTCCCCATACTTTTCGCACGTAAAATTTGTTTATCATTATGGTGTCTCAGAGCCATATTCAACGTCGCAAAATTCTTGAATATAATCTATATTTCTTCTTCTTTTCATTACTTTTTGCCGTGTAGTATTGATAACGCAATATCCTTTTAGTTTTACATCTTTTTATAATGCCCTTGGTAATCCATTTTGGTTTTCTATATTTATTTGAAAATATAATTTTTTTTAATTGGGAAACACAGTTTAAAAAGGTAAATAAAAACTTGATGGAATTCTTGCATTGCTCTATTTACATCTGTTGGAGAAAAAACATTCGAAAAATTTAATTGACTCAGATGATTAAGAAATTTATTCATGTTTTGAAAACAATAATCCCGGACATTTTCATAGTACTCCAACGGTTGTTTAATAATTTCTGAGGCTGGTATATGTAGCATTTGAGCTGTGTCATGATCCTATAGTTGAAGCTTATGAAGTTCACTTCAGTGTCACTTGATATTATATGTAATTTCAGTACAGAGTACTAAAAAAACCGTCCTCAAAAGTCATTAATCCCCTAGTTAGCCATCCTTAGAAGGAGAATATTCTATTCGAATTTAAATAGGACCACTCCTGAGGTACCCTCTTTCCAACAAAAAAAGAATCATCAAAGTCGGTTCATAAATGAGTTTATGATAGCCGTGTTTTTTTTTATAAAAAAGTTTTTTATAAAAAGAGTTAATTTCGTTACTCTGGTATTCAAAGGACAGGAAATTCCCTAAATACAGATAAGTTAATTGGTGTGGTTGTTTAAAGCTATTGTTTTACTTGGTTTTTGTACAATGATCACTTTGTAATTCGAACTTGAAACATAATAGGCTCTTCGATCAAATTGCTAGTTGTCAAGAATTAAACTTGTTATTTAGAAAATAAATTATTATTTACTCTTGAACAGGACAGTTTAAATAATAGACACAATAGATAAGGGATATATATAGATAATATTATACTATATTTTTTTTATAATATCAAGTGACTGGACGAACAAGTCGTGCACCTAAAGGTAAGTTACACGCCTGTCCATAACAGTTGAAGTGCTTTCCGAGCTTTTTCTTTTGACCTAAGCTATTAATCAATATTTTACTGTAACTTTAGAAACTGTAATCTGATAATGATATTTAACTCGAAATTGTAATGTTCTCTAAAAAGAGGGATAGTCAACAACCTTTATATATGTATAACAAATTAAAAGCAGTCAAATTTTTATTAACATGAATTTCCGGAAAGTAACGCCAGAATCTATTAAATTATCCTTATATCAGTTTGGTTATCTGCGAGAGTACAATGTAGAATGTAGAAATTTGTTGCTTATTTATGCCTGGTGGCAAGTGACACACCTGTCCATAGTAGTAGTGTAGTGCCACTCAGAGCTTTAAATCGCAAAGATCTGAGGGGCACTGCCACTTCGCCCGTCACCCTGAAACATAAGTTTTCAAGTACCAAATTCACCGTTAACATTTCACCATTAACATGGCATAATCGAATGATTATTATGATTATGATTATTATCTATTATTATTTCCGGTGAGCTTGGGATGATTTTCAAAACCTGAGTTATTTTACAACTGATATTCAATTTGACGAAAGTTAATGATATTTATTACTATGGGCCATTTTCATTCCTCAGCAATATATTGTTTACGTAAAGGTATACTTTTTTTTTTATAAAACAAAAATAAAACACCACATAAGTGACATTTTCCACAAAAAGTCTCCAAATTATGTTCCTGTTGTTAGAAAATCACCATCTTTCTGCAGATAAAACTCTTATACTCGATTAGAGTTTTATCTGCAGAAAAATTATGATTTTCTTACGTTTAGCTACGTAAATTACAAACATTTTGTGGAAAATGTCACTTATGTGGTCATAGATACCGACTGCTTCAACTTATAATGATGGGAAAGATTGAAGGCAAGAGACGCGCTGGAAGACGTAAAAATTCATGGTTACGCAACATAAGGCAGTGGACGGGAGTCACGGGCGCGGAACAACTGTTTCGTTTGGCCATGGACAGGGACAAATTTGCCATATTGTCGGCCAACCTCCAGGAGTAGAGAGGATTTTTCAAAACAAGAACTTTGTTTTGTATCTTTCATTCCGCAATTTGCATTTCTGTGATTGCAAAATAGGAAAACTTATTGACAACGGAAAATAATGGAAAGCAAGAAGCGAAGAGACAACTCAAGAACAGCATTAGTATAGGATAAAGATGGTAGAGTGGTAGTGAGATTATGCAATCCTACTAGCCGCGCTAATACGACATAGAAGCGATAAAAGAGCAATATGTTGCGGTTCTATGTCGCTTTTCGCGCCCTGCCGTGCAGGGGCTGCTAGTATACCTACATCTTACTCTTGCGCAAAGCGCAAATCTGCTCTTTTGGAGCTTAAAAACAAATGAACTGAAAGATTGTTCTAGCAATGGGTAACTGTAAAAAAAACGATATATTTTGTCTCGATATTTTCAAACAGTATCGATGTTTATCGAGCGAAATATCGATCGATATTGCGATATATCGATATTCTTCCCAAAACCTGTAGTAACCTAAAAATGTTTCCAATTATATATCCTATTAAGTACTTATATCTATCTGCATAGGGCGCACTATAAGTTTCCGGAATTGGCCACTTACATAAACAATATTTAAAAAGTAATTACAACATTTGAAAATGGAACTCTTTGGTTGTAGAAAACAGTCTGTTTTATCTGATTGTCACTTGTTTTTACATTGTGGCGT